TGGAAATGGCCCTTACTGTTTCAGAATCTGTGGTACTTGTGCCATAAGCTTAACCTAATAACCCATGAGTTAATCGATGTTGCAAGTGAATTGAATGTGCTGGGAAGAAGTTGTGGTGGTGGCTATCACCCCAACTCGCGAGGTCTACGAAACTAGATTATTTTAGGCCATACGCTAGACCATCCACCCCTCAAAGCGCCAGGTCAATTGGGCTATATCAATGTGAGCCATAGGCTTTGGCTCATCCTATTTTTTCCATAGGCTTCATACTTAGTAGCACCCATTGCTTGACACAGCTAACTGAATGCGTGTTACGTTTTCACTGTTCGACTGCAAGTTCATTTGAATACTTTCTGTGCTGAGGTGTTTTTTTTCTGTTTTTTTTTCCCGTTAGGTCAGATGTGGCGGTTAGCGCCATCGCTTCCATGCAATAGTTCTCCTAACTGCGTTTCATGTCATGGCCGAATAATTGAGTTCTCATGATTGATGAAGTCAAAATAATAGTCCAAAAAGGCTCTGCTTCATATGTCGCGCAAAGGAGGTGCACCTCCCATCAAAATGGTGGCGATTTTTGTGAGGTGAGGTTGAACGCGAAGAAGAAATGTTGAAGGTCACATATGACAGCGATGAGGCAGTTGTTGCTGGTAAAAAAGGTTAGTGCTGGCATGGAAACAACGTTTGCCACTGCAGTTGCGATGCGAAGTGCCTAAATCGGTGCTATCTCTAATGGCTAGAATCAGTGATGAACAGCAAGCAGATGTTCATAGGTCCGCTGAGACCGCTGAACAACAATAGGCAGCGAATGCTGAGCTCCGGAATAAGAGAGCCGTGCAGCCTGCTGAGCAACATGATGTAAGGAACGCAGCACTCAGGTGTTGAAAGCCGGGGGGCGGCCGGGAATTGAACCCGGTCCTCCTGCTTGCTGGTCATTTGTGCGACCATTACACCACGGAATTCGAGACATTTTGTCAGGTCTCTCCATGTCATATCAAATCACTACAGTCGTTTGCGCAGCGAGCACTGTCAAGCTGTACATTTTGATGTAGGGGGGGGGGCATTTGTTTCACATTGCTAGCACAATGGAAAAATGCTCCTGCTGAAACTCACATTTTACCCTGTGGCTCTGAAAGTATTACTCACTGGTGCTAATGTGGCGGCGAGGCATTTTCAGGAATTATTCGCTAACATTGTGCCACACATGCACTAACTTCCCTCTGTGCCATCGAACAAGTTCTTGGAAATTATCCGTATTGTTTCACAATCATTGGTGTCTGTACCATACGCTAATTCTAATAGCCGGTGAGCTAATCTGTGTTGCAAGAGTATTGAATGTGCTAGGAAGACGAAATCAGCTGAGTCGTCTTGAGTCTCATTAAAACGTGCTAAACCGAAGCGTTCACAATGGTGATTGTGGCAATAAGCTCGAATATCATGATGATGGTGTTTAGGAACAGAATCTCCCCGTGTACTGTTAGCTACGAAGGCCACTCAATAAGTTATCTACCTGAATATGAAAGGGATGAGCAACAGGCCTGTGCCTGCTGTGACATGTCTCGACAGGTCTCGTGAGTGCCCCACCACTATACCAGCTCAGTGGCTCAAGTCCGTTCAAAGTGGTAGCGCATTAGATTTCTTTTCCTGAGTCTGTNGAAAAATTACACTATTCCAAAGTCAGTTCTCGATGGGTCCCAAGAATGCTGACTCCAGCTCAGAAGAAGAACAGATCTAACATCTGCAAGGAAAACTTGGAGTTTTCTAAACGAATCGGGGAAACTTTTTTTTCCCCAGAATAGTAACTGGTGATGAAACTTAGGTTCATCACTGGGATCCCGAAACCAAGCAGGAGTCAAGGAGGGAGTGTGGCTTTCAGGAGCTCAACCATCCTCCCTACAGCCCGGATCTGGCTCCTAGTAACTATTTTCTGTTCAGACGCTTGAAAAAATTTTTGCGGGGAAAAAGATTTTCATGCAATGAGGAGCTGAAAGTTGCCGTTTCTGATTGGTTTGATGGACAAAAAGTTGACTTCTATTCCCAGGGAATAAAATCCTTGGAATCAAAGTGGAATAAGTGTGTTGAGTTAAAAGGTGACTACATTGAAAAATAAAGTATTATTTTCCCCCTCGGATGTTTCTTTCTTATTCAGGTAGATAACTCATTGAGTGACCCTCGTATATTTCACAATTTATTTCAAAGGCTGTGTGGAAATGGAAATAAACTTAGCTTAACCCAAAATGTTGCCCCTACTTCTTTCATAGGGTACCCTTTGTAACACAAGCGAAAGGAAAACTTGGTTCTGTTGGAAAAGTATCAAAAATATTTCCTACCACTCCCAAATTTCTTTATTTTTTGCTGAAGTGGATGCTTCCAAAGAAAGTCATTCCACATCAAATCAAACACTTCAAAACATGACTATCTCCGATTTTGATGAAATTTTGACTAATTCTCTACTATTGAGAAAGTCAGATATCTGACGTATTTTCGCCTCCAGCAAATTGGATCATAAGTGGCTATGAAAAAACGTTATTTTGTGACTCAGTGGCACACCTTTACCTCGAGGTCATGATAACTTATATTGAAGCTAGAGAATTGATTCAAAGCTCTTTGTAAAGGGCTGTTTCTACTCTTTCCAATGATAATATGAATAGGAGTTACATAAAAAAGTAACACGTTGTTATGAAATATATGCGCTGAAATATGAATTCATTTAACGAAAATGCGTCATTTGGGATTTCTGTTGAAATTTCCAAAACAACAGAAGAAATGATGTTGCTAATGGGAAACATTTCACAATGAAGGAATTAGTAATTGCTATGTCAGCCAAGAAAAAATAATTTATTTTGGAAAAATAGCGCATATATATTTATAAATGGTGTATCATCATTCCCATTCACTGAATTGATTCGGCATTTATTTTTAAGAGAACAGACTGATTCCATGTTTTTGTTAATGTTGATATAATCCTCTTCAAACCCATAACAAATCCTTCTATACATTCTAAATAATATATTCCACGGTTGTTTTGGAGTGCTTCATGTGACACGATTCCTTTATTCACAGACTAATTCATACCGACTCTTGCATCGATATTGACAGATTCCGATCCCTGATGTGATAATGAAAAAGCCATAATGATCTTGAGCAAGTTATCTTGAGCAAGATAGACATGTTTAAGGAGGTAATCAGGCAGAAGGAGACCCAAAGTACTTCTGGCGAGTGGATCCGAGAAGACACGCTCAATTTCCCTAAATCTCCACATGGCACGGTTTCCGGGTCGGACTTGAGGAAAGACAGACTGTAACCCCCACTGGTACATATAAAACTGCCCGAAAAAAGTTTTCAAAAACCTCACCAGAGGTCGCTCCAAGTGAAGTCTCCATCGTCGTTTCCTCCACCGAGACAACGCGGAGGCTTCCCAAAAACGACCGAGACGCTCTTCTTCATCGGCGCCTCTGGGATCAATCAGATCGAGGCGCCGCCGTATTCCCCGGACCTGGCGCCGTGCGATTTGGGCTTTCTCCAAAAATAACAAAGAAACCAAGACAACGCGGAGGCTCTCCAAAAAATCACTCTGCGTTCATTCCTTTTACTGAACGGGTCGAACATCTGCTGGACCCCTCGTAGATGTTCCAGAGTTTCGCCTTGCCTTCAGACTCATTTGAGTCTCAGGCTAAATTACATGCTATGTTTTTTCGGCCTTACATATTGGAGGATCGATAATTGCAACTTTTCATCCCAATAAACATAGCAGAGCATGTGGCTCATGGCTACCTATTCGTATAGTTCCTCCAACTTAGAGGGCAGGTTGAATTCAGGTGATATATTACCTGGCTGAATCGGTGAAGTGGACCTCATCATTCCCTCCATTCAAAACATCGATCAAGAGACGGCTTGGATTTTCCATCGGCTCTGATCGTTGGTAGCCACCTGCTCGAGGAGCAAGAACCCGACAATATCGCACGAACGTTCTGGAAGAAAGTGTCCACGTTGCGTCCGGTCCCAGCTGAATTCCCCTTTTTCCCCCGCTTGCAAAGGTGAGGCCGAGGCAAAGTGTAGAGAGAGGTAATGTAGCCACACCGATCCGTTGAACGGAGGTCGATCCAGCGCCGAAACTTTCTTTACACAGGAAGCGGCCTTAGTGTGTCTTTCGATGCATTCGTGCCGAATTATCTCGTAAGATAATGATTGAACCTAGCTGAATGCCGTCTCGAGACACAGGAGTACTTAATCTCATGAAGTAGGATGCAGTCAAAGTTCGGGAGAACCTGGTGAAAGAAATTGCATTTCAAACCATGTGTCATGTTTTACTCATGCAAACACTCACACGAAGCCTACACTCAATGCGGGTAGTAAACGCTTGGAAATCGTTAAACGACGAGGTTGTTGCTTTCCTGGGGGGCGTATTATCGACAAGAGGGGGCCAGATGCCTTCATGAGCGAAGCAAAGATAGGGAGAAACGAAGATGTAGATATGCTAGGCATGTTTCGCAGTAAACTAGGAAGATATGCTCCAAACAAATCTGGCTTAATGAGGCGGAGGCATGTAATGGAACACTTATGGGATACGGGGACACTCGACCTCGACAAGGCCATCTGTTGGCCGACCTGTTGGCCATAATCGCATCTTCAGGTCTCCTCCCCTTGGACTTCTGTGTGCGTGTTTGGGGGAGGGGGGGGGGGTCAGTGAAGGCAAAATTTTGATTGAAGGAGTCTTCGTGCAAAGGGAAGAGTGAAGCTTTCTGTAAATCTCTTCTTTAACTCGGAACAGCCACCATAAATCATTCCATTTTAAAACGGAATCATATGCTCCTTCGTTTTCTGTGTAAATAACACACGTTAAAAGACTTTCCACATTCTAACTGCTTTTCGACGAATAATTTCCTTTAAACATCTTCTCATTCATCGCGCCTGATTGCAAGGCATGGCACTCGAGCGGGATAGAGGCGTAAGAGGGAGGACCGAGGAGCCGACAACTGAAGGACCCGCAAGGAGACCACCCCCGCATGGGCCTCTATCCGGTTCTCCCCCACGACGCATTCCTGGGGACCAAGGCCATTCGCAGCCGGTCCGTGAGCGTGGCCGCGTCTGAGGAGTTGCTCGGGCGCAGTCCTCGGCTGCCTTCTACTCGCTACGAAGAGACGTGTTGTGGGTGAGTCTGTTTTTTCTCGGTCTATCGAAGTTGGTTTACGAGGGGGGGACGCCGCGTTTGCCGTCGTCTCGACTCTCGCGTCAGAGTTTCATCGTTAAGTTCGTCTTCTCACTCCCCCCTACACAGTTAGTAAGATCGTTTCCGTCACTCCCGACGAGGCGGCGGTAGCAAGGCGCTTCGACGCGTTCTTCAAGGGCTGCTGTCCCCTGTCGTAACGGAGAGAATGAATTAAATGTGGCTGGAGATGGGGGAGCTCCCCTCATCCTTTTATTTCTAATCCCCATTTGGAAGCTGCAAGCTTCACTGAACTTTTTCAGAATGTCTCGGATCCCTTTTTTTTAAATGCTATGGGTGGATTTTTGAACAGAGAACTATCAGATAATGCTGCTTTATTTACCAGATTTACAATGCATTTTCTCTGAAAGAAAGCAGCATTATCGGATAATGCTCTGTTCAAAAATCCACCCAATGTCTCACATGCTAGAATTGACGTCTGGTTCGTGTTGTCATGTTCCACCGCTAGTCACATTTGCATCTCGGCGTTCCATCTCCCTTTCGAGCAAACAAACACGGCACGACCGATTTCCATCTCAAATTCCAAGGACCGAATCAGGCATAATTATTAATTTAAAAAAAAAAAGCCACTCCGGCGACTCTCGTCCCCTTCCGCGGCGATCCTTGGGGTTTCTCCTTCTCTCTCGAATTCGGAACGTGTTTCGACGACTCATTCGATGATTCATGGGGTCGATTCTTCGTTTCTTCCGTTCCCGTGAGCGATCATTTTTAATAACTCCAGTTACCTGCGAGATGGGAGTTGAAATGAGTTGAAACTCATCTCAACCTTGACTAACGTATATTAAATTTAACCAAATGAGACAAAGTCTAGATCGGACATAGAAGAATTGTCTGGATTCAGAACTTCTGTTTTGAATATTTTCCACGGCAAAATACATTTTCTAAGAAAAAAAAAAGAAAAGTTAAATTTTCGGCTTCTTCTGTGGCTGTTTCTAATATTTCTCATCGGATCAAAATATTTTCTTCTGGGAATCACAAATTCTCCTGTGCCGCTGAGGAACACGAAAACTCGAAAGCCGGAGATTTTCCACTCGATGCCCGTCAGCAGGTTCGACGTGGTCGCGTATCTCTCCGCAGTTGCATTTTGGTTGGGAGAATCATACCATATTTGTTGTCTTCGTTTTCGACTTTCATCGGGTTCATCGTGAGGTCGGGAAGATGAAAAAAGTGTTCACTGTGCCAAAAGATGGCTGCCCGTCGAAGAAAATACCTAAGCTTAGGAAAAGTGGATAATATAGCCGATGAAGAACTTCTCGCGTGATCGCTAAGATCGACAAGCCGTGATTAAATCGACCCCTGTTCTTCCAGAGCCGAAGCCGACCGCGAAGAAGCTGCTGCTCGCCTCTTCGAGATTCCATGGGGTCCACGGAAGCGAGTCCGGTGCGATCGGACGCTGGGAAGGCCCGGTGGTCGAGCTCGTTCGGGGTCGGGAGGCCCTGCGATCGGGTCGCGAAGGGGGAGTGGGTCTACTTGGTCCTGGCGCTGGGAGGGGCCGTGTTTACCTTGGCGCTCACGGTCGTGAGGTTTGCGACGCTGGAGAGGAGTAGCGACGATTATACGTTCGGGATCGTCACGTTCGTGAACGCGGTTTTCTGCGTCTTCTTCGTCGTCGATGGCGTGCGGAAGGATGGTAGATATAAGTAATTTGATGATTCATCATCAAATAATATCGACTCCACGACGAAGTTACGGTTCATCGTCAGAATGTCTCATTTCATCGATCAGTTAATCACGTCACCAATTTCTCACCACCTTCATGGAATGATTACACCACCAGATTTAATTAATCTAACCTCAGAGTCTCCTCCGGTATATTCACCAGATGCCATGAAACATCCAGCAAACTTTTTGGACTTGGCACCAGATAATCTTCGCCTTAATTAACCTTCCGATCCAGATGCGAGGTGTTTTTGGACCCCAGGTCCATTTTTTATGGTACTGATGCTTCTAGCAGCATCTCAAAAACTGTAACAAATAATTAGAGTATGTTTATCGTATGTTTAACCAACGTTTATCGTACGCGCTTTTCATCGGTCCAATTCACTCGTTTCTTTAATCACACAAAAAAAGGAAACTCGCTGGGGATCATCGGATCGCTAGAGCATCGGGATCGAAATGATCAAGTTTGGAAGCAACCTTCCAAAAGCCATCTCGGATCTTCTCTTTCCGTTGAAAAGTCCCATCGTCACTATGACTTCATGACTTGCATCCACCGTGAACGCTCGAATCTCCGTGCCTCCATCCTCCATTCGAATCGGGCGTGTGCGACCCAAACACGGAGCTTCGTGCTGGGGCCACTAACGAGAGAACGTCTACAAGGTACTCCGTACTATCGTAGAGTTGCTAGCTAGTCCGGAGACGGTTTGGAGCTTGGGCTTCTGGCGGTCGTTGTCCTGATGCAAACTACGGTTATTGCGCTGGGCAGCAGAAAATGTTATACCTCATCCACTGGGATCGTCCAACGCATGCAAGCATTTCCTGATGTTACTTTCGTTGTTCAGGCAGCCATGGAATGCACGCACGAAGCAAGAAACAGTCTAGTAACAATTACTTGGTCGCAAAACTTAATCAGGAAATGGGGCCACGGAGACAAATTACCTCAGTTTCAAGCAATTCATTCTCTATTTTTTATCTGCTTCAGAAATTAGTTTTAGCTATCGTAGTTTTCCGAAAGGTTCCCGTCTTCTTCGGAATCTACCAGTCGGGAACCGACTAAACTCTACCTTGCTTGGTCATGGAAAAATTGTCGTTACCTAGGGAAACCTCTAAATGACGGAAAAGGTTGTCATTATTTTTTTTCGTAATCGTGAGAACGTGCCGCTATGGATCGGAGAAATATCAATTCAAATCCTCGTCGAGTTTCACCTGAAGAGCATAAAAACAGACTAGAATGAACATGAACGTGGTTCAAGATGATCCTAAAGGATTATCACAATCGTGATCGGATACGGAGTCAGCATGAAAAAATTGTATTTTCGTTTCTCATTGGCACAACTACTATTCAGTTTTCAGGATGAGAAGGATTTTGAGCAGCGCAAAAGAAGCTTCTTTCGTAAACATGTGACAAGCAGCCGCCGTGAAAAGGATATAAGAGATGGTCTCGCTCGTTGAAGTGCCGGGATGACGTCCTACCGAAGATTGCGGGGAGTCCTGTACAGCGGTACCTGACAAACAGCCGTCCGTTGCTTGCCTAGCGCAGCCACCGGTGATACCGATAGCTGCCCCACCGTCACCGACGGGGGTACGCTTCGGTCATCTGAGACCGTCTCGCAGCAGGGCGGCAACGACGACGACGACGACTACGAGACAACGACGGGGCGGGTGCCTGACCATCTTCTTCTGCTGTTTCTTTCTTTACTTTCGCATTGGAAAGGGGAACTGCGACAGCTGAAAATAGTTTCTGAAGCTGATAAAAATTAGAGAATGTATTGGTTGAAACAGATCTATTTGTCTCCGTGGAGAGTAAAGGAGTAGACAAAACGCTAGTTCATTAGCAATGATGTGACAAAGAACGAAGCACGCACGTGAGGTCAGACTTGTTGCTTTCATTGTAACTGTGCCACAGACTAAGCTAGTTACCAACCTATCGTGGAAACAGATCGAATCCGCTTGTGGTCATGCGAACTTGAAGGTGTTGTTTTTGAGCGCATCTCGAAGTACCGATCTCATACTATTTGAATTATCGTTTGGAAAGCCACTTATTGTTGCTCTAGCCAATTATACCCGGAGATGTACCAGATTCCACCCATCACCGTCGTTCATACCCATCGAGGAGTACCATCGCTTCCTGACTTTACAAACTCGTGTGCTTCGAATTCACCAATTAAAAGGAGTGCAGAAGTGGGCACTTCACGCACAGTCCTCTCCTCCTCCACGCAATCATTGCACGAAAAACCTTTTTGGCGGATTCATTAGGTTTTGCACAAGGGTAGTCTTGGCCGCTAAAAAAAGTAAGTCTCAGTCTCTAACGCGCAATTCTTTTGGAATGTGCACAACTGGTTGCCGTTACTCACGTCACTCCAGGTTTTAGCTGAGAATACCTGCGCGACAGCTAATTTCAAAGCGTCTCGTGAGTTCTCTTTCCGCAATTTTTGGATCGTGCGTCGACACCATTTTGTAGTTGATTCGTGCTATGCAGGAGAATCTCATTCTTTTAGGCGTGTGATCCGATGTGATTCCCATTCTGCTCTGTCCACGAATTCCGAATTTCAAGTGGAATCTTCATAGTTATTTTCCGTTAATTTTTCGATTTATTAACAGTAATGGGTCAAACTGGAATAAAATATCCCAAACATGAGGAAAAGGAAAAGCAGATGAAGCTGGCTTTAGGAAATGACAGAATCGAAGCATGGAACACGGTTGAAATTTATTTTCGAGCGAAGTTAAATTCATGAAATTATCCCAAGTGGGAATCCCCGGGAATATAGACAAATTGGCAAAAGAATACCAGGAATGACCCGACCTTCGAACAAAATGACAACGATGACAGAAAAGGAGTTCGCATTTGGCTGTGAGGAAGAAGATTGGCAACATCACTCGAGTCTTGAAATGGAGAGGCGTTGAAGGCGAAAGCAAGCAAAGAGGGCGAGCCAGAGAAGGAGAGTAGGCAGGGTGCAAAGACTTTTTACTTTCCCTTTAGTGCCGCTACCATTCGCCCTCCTCCTAGGGTTTTCCTGCGCTTCATGGTCGGGCGTCTCACGCAGGGTCTTCTCTCGTCGGACCCAGAGACAATAGGTCTGATGGGAAGGGAATCCACTTCAGGCCCTGATGTAGCTCAAGAGGTAAAGGTGGGGAAAGAAGCTAAAGTGAGCTAAAGTGGTGTGGCTCAAAGCTCAAGCTGTCAATTCTGGGAACATCACAGAATATATCTTTCTGAAGTCCTGAAGGTAGGTGACAGGAGGTTGCAGCATTCGCAATTCATTCAGATGGAGTTGCAATCACTCGAAGTATCCCCCTCACTCTCACTGGGTCCATGCAGCAACTTTCACCACTCTGTCGTCTCCGGTTCGAGTCACGAATCGCAAGAATGTGATTGTTTTCATACAAGCAACATTTTATTGAGTTTCGTTTAGACCCCTCCTAGAACGTGTTTTCCTCGGTACCTTCAACCTCGAGGTGACGTTACTTAGGTAGTGGTACACCAGGAGGTGGTTGGGTGAGAGAGTAGTCGGTATCTGACTTGAAAGAACAAAGAACATGAAAATATTTCAGACTATCAGGAACTCTACCACAATGGGTAGGAGGAAGATGGCATTTGCAAAGATCAATATCTGACTTGGGGTATACCTGACCTGCAGCCATGATCAACCAACTGGCCATCACTTGGCAATGATCACTTTTATCGAATGCACAAGTGGTTAGTTGGATTGTCTTTGCTCTCAACAGAGAATAAACATCTGAGCAACTCAAAAGTACCTTGTTTTGAAGTATGAAGGAAAGAAAAGATCACGGTTTGGCTTTAGCCAGCTCCCGCATCAGCGACAGGCTGGATCCTCGATATCCACCTCCGAAGTGGTTCCTAAAAACCCAGGGATCGCTTTTAGTATTCCCACAAAAGACGAGGGAAAGTGCACGTCGAAGGAATCGATGACCGAACCAGTGATTCAGATAATGGAAGAGTTGATAGAGTTTGAGCCGCAGCTTGAATCCCTGCTCCTCGGGGATGACCTCGCGGTAGGCCCTGACGGCCGAGCCGCTCATTCCGCCGAACATGGTTGCGATCCCAAATTCGAACTCGTTGTGGCCGTAGAAACTTGCCGGGTCGAATATGACTGCGATTGCAACATTTAGTACATTGACAGCAATCAGAGAGCAGACAGATTACAGATGATTAAGGGTCGAGAAACCGACCAGGGCCTTCTGCGGTGGAGGAGACGTTCCCGCTCCAGAGGTCTCCGTGCAGAAGACACGGTTTGATTGTGAGATCAGAAAAGAGATTCGGAATGATGCGTTCTACTTGGGGCCACAGCTCGCGTGCCTCTCGGTCTCCATACTAGATGCCACAAAAATTGAAAATCAAATATGAAAAGAACTTCAATCAAAACTGCAGTCTTGGCTTGTGACTGATGTTACATCCATGCAAATAGCTTGAGCACCCTCAATGTTCATAATTGACTGAATCCTTCTGATTTGACCATCGAGGATCTATAGTTTCTTGATGCAACTTTTTTTTTTTCATACAAGGTTTTTATCTTTAAACAAAATATGGGGAACATCCATTTGTACACCTGCAAAATATCTTCAAAATCATTCTAGTGCTCTGGGGCAATTCATCAAAAGGCCCATAAGTACACTTTCTTGGAATTTCATTGAATTGGCTGTGTATGAGAAATCCATTGTTTGAATCATGAATTCTGTGTATGTAAAATTTAACACATTGACTGCCATTCAGGCCATATGGGTGTTCCATTTAATAAATGTCCATGCCCTGCTCAACAAGGTAAGTTTGGTTGGGCATTTAAAATCCCAGGCAAATTGTTTAGCAGCAGGTTGAACCTTGAGGTAAACAGCTGGGTTTATATGAGGATAACTGGATGTTCCAAATGCAGTGGCGTAACTAGGTAATTTGCCGCCCGGGGCGAGTGACTGTTACTGCCGCCCCCATACTCCAGCTCCCCCCCTTGCTAATTGGTATTTTCACATGCACACACGTTTTACTGGAGAATGAGATTCATTAAATATTTCTGTTATTCAGGACCGATTCTCAGCACAAATAATCAAATTCAATTCTTACAAACAAACAACTGCAATCAAATTTCAGCCCTTCTTGATTTACTGGCTGCAAAATCTTTAATAACTTTGCTGAAATCAATGCAAGAACCAAACCGATTCTCAGCACAAATAATCAAATTCAATTCTTACAAACAAACGACTGCAATCAAATTTCAGCCCTTCTTGATTTACTGGCTGCAAAATCTTTAATAACTTTGCTGAAATCAATGCAAGAACCAGCTTGATGTTCAATTGACAGGATAGCAAGATTTGTAAGTCTTTCTTGAGACATTGTATATCGCAGGTATGACTTAATCAGCTTCATTTTTCTGAAAGATGACATTTGCTGCCCTCAGTTCAGAGGGCGGCAAACGGGAAAAAATCGCAAAATCGTCAAAATGGGCATTTTGCCAGTGAGTGGCAAAATGGAATAGAAATTCTGAAATTTTGCTTTTTTGAAATAAATTTTTTTGAAAGGCTATTTTACCGCCCTCTGGACTGTGGTGCCCGGGGCGACCGCCCCACTTGCCCCACCCTAGTTACGCCACTGTCCCTATGTTGCATTTAAATATGAACACACTATTTCCACTTGAAATAACATCATCTCTGGATAAAAATTGATGATTTCAGATAAAAGATGGAAGAGAAACTCAGGCCAAAAATAAAAGAAATCCCAGTTACAAAGAAGAAATGCTGGACAGACAACAAAATATACAAGGCAAAACCATTTTGTTTTCACTGATGGGTGGGGTGAAAGAAAATAGATGGGCAAAGAGATCCAGAAAAACAAAATGATCAGTTGTATTTGTCACCATATATGGAGAACCTTGTTATATTTCTTTGAGCTTCCTTTTCTTTAACTCACTTTTTTTTCGGCGAGATCAAGCTGTGCTTTCAGTCGCTGCCTGGAATAAAAACTCTGCAACAAAATCAGGACAAATTTTCTAAAGGGATTCCACCAAAGCTGCTTTTTCTAACAAAATGATGGAAATGGGAAAAGGGCACATACAACCCAGTCCTCATGCCAGGCGTTATCCAGGGGGAGATACCCGCAGCAGGTGGCGATATGGAACCCAAATTCTGAAATGGGTTCGGGCTCTTCCGTCTCTTCTCCGGTCGACTGTGGCCTGGTCACCCGACTCGCTTCCTTCTCGGCTCTCTTCAGTGCATCCCAATTGTGTTTGTGCAGCCTGAATTGCATTTTGCAGCCCCTTATACATCTGTGCTGCCATTTTTTAATTACAAAAAAAAATTTGAAAACATAATCACTTGGCCAGCTGTTTTCCCAGTTCCGAGGAATGATGCGATCCGCCGTTCATGTCGAGATACTCCATGACCAAGACGGCTCCACCTTTGGGGTTCTTGATGGCCTTGATGGGGTGAGGGACTCGAATCGTATGCGTTGCTTCCATGGCCTTCAGACTCTCATATTCTCCCTCGAACATCCGAAGGGCCTGCACGAGGACGTGACACGATTGTGAAATGCTTCGCCTCAAGTTACCCCCATCCATGCGCATCACTATCATGGTACCTCCGACTTGGCATTTCGCTTGACAAAAACAAGCCCCTGGTCCGTGTGATAGGCTTCACCTTCATTGATGCATCCGCCTCCACCCTGTCCTGTGGGCTTCAGGGTCTTGGTTCCAAGTTCCTCCTTGAGGATCTTTTCCATTTCATCCCCCAGCTTATTCCAGTATCTTCTCACAAACTAATCCAAACTCCCCCAGGTTTACCAGATTTTCACTCACTTGCTTGCACCTATCCATTGAGGAACAAATACAACATACATCTACCATGACGTTGCCCAGAAAACTTTCAAGTCTTATCAACAGGGAAACAGGGCAATGAGTGTGGTTCCTCCCTCATTCTGTACTGCAACTTACCTCTAAACATATTCTCAAATGATAAACCAGGTGTTGGGATTAATTTCCCATATGGTTTTCAAAATACTGAGATGGCAAATACACGTCATTAATGTATTCAAACCAGGAGAATTTCCAAATATTTTACAGGAATAGTAAGAGTCTAATACCCTATTTCTGCATGCACTCCCCTTAAGCAGTGACCACAGAAATAGATCAAATTTGAGGAAAATCTTGAGATCAAAGGAAGAGAGCTGAAAAGAAAAATAATAATGAAATGGCCCAGTGGATATACATACAAAGGAGCTGGTAATTGGTATTACCTTATCCCACACTTAATCAAATATGGCTTCTCTCCATTCCAAGAAATCATTTCCGTGCAGAATTGAATAAGAATTCAATTTTGGGATCAGTTAATTCCAGTTTTACTGCCTACACAAACCTATCAGCCTCAAACATCAAGATCAAAAATGATGCTTCACTCCAAATCCTTCATGCCATGTGCTGCTTCAAGATCCAGAGCACTTGCTTTTCAAGAAAGGAAAGAGATAAAAAAAAAAGGACAAATTCAGGAACAAGTCATTACTAAAAGTTACATGTCAGCACTTTACTTGGTACTTCTCCATGCTATTTTCATCTGGTCCACACTTCGCCTCCTTCTGGTAAGTATGCTTCACTTTCCTGCATGTTGCTGGAGTTTCATAAGGACTAACAGCCACAAGCTAAACTTCTTGGTCTTAGTACTGTTCTGTAAGGTAGCTTGCAATTTGACAATGGATGTTGGGATCCTTTAGTTTCTGTTCACGAAGACATGGCCTTCCAGAAAGAAAAGGCTCTTCACAAACTTAATTTCCTCAATATCACCTACATAAGACTAAGCAATACCTGCTTCCTGAAGACCTGTCAGGACCTGATTATTTTATTAATGAACCTGTTATTGACTTTGGGCCAGGTCAATCCCGTTTAAGATCTTGACAGTCGTCTTTTAACCTGTTAACTGGTGAGTTTTTGTGCCATGGTAGCAGGCCAGGCATGTTTTTTTTTTACAGCAACTTACTTATGCAATGGAGCTTCAACTCTTTCATTCAAGGGAAATGATGTTTCATTGTACAACAATCCTAAATCTTCAAATCCCATGAGTATACTCGTCACACCCAGTTAACAGGTTTAACTACCACATACATAGCATCTGCAAGGATTATCTGGTAACCAGTTATTCTCTTCCTTTCATATGAGTATTTATCAACCATCAGAGAAAGCAATATCTTATCTGTAATGTTTAAAACTGTATGCTCTGTAAATTAGGGAACTTTGAAAGGGGAATAAACCAGAGCATGAAGTCTTTCACTCATGATTGTCAATCAAATCTCACCTGTGCTGCCCTACCATCACACAATCATTAGGGGAGTTATTCAGGAAATTAAAATCCCAGGGATGAACGAGAACTTGTATTTATGGAAATGACTTGCAGCAGGTTATTAAGTATCCCCAAAGACCATAGTTTAATGTCCACGGAAACATGTTTTCATTTAAGGAGCATGAGGCAGAGCAACGCGGCTGCTGGGATGTCAGAGGTTTGCAGCTGGATGCAACCTCGCATGCCAGGGAGAGAATGATTCATGGAGCCACAGTCATTCTGAATCAACAGATATGGCCTTTACTCTGTGGAACAAGAAACAACATTGTATATGTTTGCATCGCACGGACGAGACAACGCGGCATCGTTCCAAGGAAAGTCCGAAGGGAAGTAAACGATTTATCTCAGCACAACTGAGTGTATAGGTCAAATTAAGGAAATTTGGGGAAATGCAGCAAGGATGGCAAGGATCAAAAGCAATCATGTAGCACAACAGGAAATCCCTATCACACAGCTTGGAATTTGTGCTCACGAACCATCACAAAGAGAGCAGTAGGACTCAATGGACAAAAATCACAATATAAGAAGCTGCATAAAATGGCATATGAGGATCAAAACAGTGAAAACAGGGTAGCATCGAACAAGCTCAAATCCGCTTAACACGCGACAATAGAATAAATTTGCCTCCAGTCAAAATGAAATGTAACATACCCTGACATTGGCATAGGAAACAATACATCACAAGGATACAAGCGCCTTACTTTTACAAAGTCTCAGTCAAAAAGTGTAACCAATTGCTTGGTTGCCTTGGCAACATCGTAGGCACAGTCAAAAACCCGCTGATGCTCGATGGAGAAGTTTTCTTCCCCTTTGCTCCTCCTAGATGGCCGAGAGAGGTGAACCAACCTGGCAGCACTGCTCACCAGCTGGTTCACCGCTTCCTGTACCTCGTCTTTGGTGATCCTCTGCATTTGCAAAAAAAATTAGAAAATAAGCCACAGATCAAAGGAAGTACATGAGGCAGCACCTTCTGTGACTCACCAGTGGAAAGAGGGCAATCATGTTGGTGACAGCCTGGTTCACTTGCTCAATGGATGAAAGGAATTCCTCAGATGTGCATTCCTCAGCCTCCAACCTCTGCAATGTGACCAACATCTCTTGAATGCAACCAGTGATTCCTCTCATGCATGTCAGTACTTCATCCTTTGAAGGAAGCTCCTTTTTTTCTTGTTCTTCGAACACCATGTCTGATTGGACTCTGATGGTGGTTCCCTGTATGATAGGAATGTGGTTCAATAGCACCACAGGAACACAATAATGACATCCACATCCATTGTAAAAGTGACTAGGGGTGGGGCAAACCAATATCTCAGCAGTTCCACTGTGGAAATTGGGAGACCCCAACGGATGGACTACAAGTGGGATTCCCTTGGGACTGTGACACCGATGGATTCCCTGTCGAGGTTCATACATGCTTATCGCTCGACCAGACGAAGGGGATGTGCTGGGTGTGAATCGCATCTTTGCCCCTCCACAAGTATCTTCATCCAGCAAACACAATGAATTGTGGCCATTAGGGAGAGACGACACCCGTCTCCCAGTGCTTGGGTCCCGACGTAACAAGGCGTTCTCCTGCATCAACTTCTGCACCTAAAAAATTAGTAACAGCAGCTGAAATCCTCCATGCTTCTTGTGTTAAGTCCAAATGCAGCCATCAGTTCACCATCACAACACAGATCCCAAACATGAAATACATGCTCCCATTTCTCCAACCAGAGTTACACTGGCTTCCAATCTCTAAAAAGTATGCCATTTCAATAGGCATTACTTTGAGGAGCTTTTTCTCTAGGTCTCCTTATGCATATTTTCAACATAGGTGCCTCATTCGTGTGACTCTTACTGATGGATTTCTATCAATAGGCTCAGCATATTCCCTTAAGTGTGGGCAAAACTCTCCAAACTAATGCGATTCCATTCCTCCCATGAAACAGATACACATGTAAACTCCAGAAATCTGACTTAAAAAAAACTTCTGACAAGTGAGAACTGTGAATATTTCTATATTTCTCAACAGCTGCAGTTGAGACCATTTGAAAATATATGCCTCCAGTAGAGAAAAGAGCTCCAAATTTATACTGAATATGGTAGCAGAAAGTTCTTCACTCTTCTGTACCATTAACTGGGTAGAGTGAGATTAGGCCCAAGCTCAGTATTTGCCTCAAAGAGGGAGATCATCTCTCAAACAAAAATAGTCAAATGTTTTTCAGAGTTAGCTGCAGGGATGTTAGTGAAGCAGAGGCAATACATATCAATGCTTCTAGTCACCAAATGCATCTCAGCTGCACTATGACTACTGATGATTAGAGGTTAAAGGGTGCTCCTGAAAAGGAAAAAGTTCACTGACTGGCTGCTGAGGATGCGGCATACGGCGCATCACCTCTCCCACCTGGAATCATTTCCCAACATTCATCCACTCCATGATGAAATAGCAGATGTTTTGAGGACCAGTTGTAAGCCTGAACTGACCATGCTCTGAAGGGTGGAAATTTCCTGTGCCATGCGATCGCGCTCCTTCACGAGAACTTCGATGCTCTTGCGGGAATCCTGAAGTTCATCCTTGAGGCGATCGTACTCCTCTCTTGTCACTCGTCCTTCTTCCTCGTCCTCGTTTGCTCCTCCTGCCTTCTCCCCTTCTCCCCCGGCCGCAGAGAGATCGGACAAGATGCTCGCTATGCTAGATGTCCGGTGACGCTATGCCAAAAAACCCACAAATCAAAAGTGAATGAAAAGGACATCCAAATGACAAGAATAAAGTTTCATGAAGAACAAAGGAAAGAAGCTCACATCATCATCCCCAATAGGGGTGGAAGTCTTGGCTGCTCCAACAAGCTGTTCCTAACATGTCACTTGATTAGGGCAAACTTCCATGCATCCAATAAATCAAGGAGAAAATAGACAGATGACAAACCCTATTGGATTGCAAGGCAAGGATCTGCTGAGCATCAGCCAGTTTGGACTGAATCTCAACAAGGGAATAGTCTTCTTCAGAGGCCACACTGTCATAGATGGGGTCCTCCTCTGATGCATCCATTTGACCTTGAAGTGGCCTAAGGGCCATATCCATAGCAGAAGCAGCCTGTGCTCGACCCCCTTCAACTGAAATCGAAAAATTAAAAACTGTGCCATGAATGCATCAAGACATCACAGTCACAGAGATCCAAAAATATATTCCCTTCAAAATTCATGGTAGAGGGAGAAAAACAAAGAAATTTAGCATACAATTATGAGAATTGTAAAAAAACAATCTCACGATTCGTAGAACCACTCACTGTCAAGATCCGACTTCTGAAGGCAATAGAATACAATACCAAACAAGTTCAAATTGTGCACTATTTGCAACTTAAGGGCTTTTGGATATGACCTCAGAATATAATTGAATTATTACCCTTGAAGGAAACAGACGAGAGGGCAAGAGAACTCGGGCCACCAAAATGCCGCCTTCTTATCTCTGCCAGGAGGTCGATTACGAGGATAGCAAATTCCCTGGGAGAAAGAGCGGCCAACTTCTGCCGAGCGGTGTTGCGCTGCGGTGATATGTCGGGGACGGGTGGAAGTGAGGGAGGGATGTCGGATGGTGAGGCACCCTTTTCTTGGCTCTGCCAAGCTGTCACACAATGCAAGCCATTATTTCAACCAGTAAGCAATTGAGTGATAGATACCCAGCTCCCAGATTCACAACTGCTCACCTGCATACACCTCTCTTCTATCAACTTCATCATAGATGTCCCTCGTGAAAGCGGCCAAAAAATGGTCAGACAGCTCCTGGAGAGGACGTCTGGGTCGAGCAGCTTCCTCGGACGGAGTCAGCGCGAGTTCAGGCACAATAAAATGCTGGCTGGAAGAATGATCTGGGCGTCTTTGGCACAAAAAGTAAGCCAGTCGGTCCGTCAACTCGTACTCTAGCTCTACTAGGCGGCGACAGATCCCTTCGTGCTTCCCCGATCTATGTGGAAAAGTAAAACTTGGATTCTTTTTCATAGGAACAAAACAAATTATTTGAATCTGAAAGCACTTGTTTTACCTCTCAAAGAAGTTCATAAGAACAGTAAAATACTAACTTGGCATAATCTAGTGGTGTGAGGCCATGGGCATCAGCTTGCTTTGGATTTGCACCATATACTACAAGCAGCTCAACTTGAGACAGTTGCCCTGCCTTGGCAGCCACGTGTATTCCACTGTTGCCCTTTTCCTGATGACAAAACAGGTAATCAGTTAATTCTTTGCACTAATGAAAGTGGTGCAGAAGTTCACACGAAAACCAAGCCTCACAGGATGAATGTAATTCGGATCCGCTCCTAGTGCAAGAAGACGGATGGTGGTCTTCAGATTGCTCGTCCGGACGCTGGAATGAAGCTGCTTGTTTATGTCTGCAGATGGCTGCAGATCTTCCTTTCCTAGTGGTCGTAGGACGAACGCCAACCGCTTGTACTTGCTCTTTATGAACTCGGCTTTCACTGGACTACAATGATTGAGTACAGGTTTAGAGAATTTTGCAGCGTTGCAGAGCACAGGGCATAGGGACTGTAGAGAATTTTCTCACTGCAAGGAGTCCCTAGAGTTGGGCTTTCTTCGAATGGGGCCTTTCCCTCCAACGGTAGGGTCCAGCAGAGTGTGCTCCCAGACACTATTTGCTCCACTTGAGTGCAGTGTGTTAACCAACTGCAGGAGTATAGAATTGACTCTCTTTACCACATGTGCTCCCATGTACGGCTATAGCCTTTTTCACGCCATCTTCCAAATGGTTACTTATTTCTTCAAGAGATGTCATTCAAATATCTCCTTTCATACAAGGGTTGCATACAAGATACCACAACCTTAAACATTACTGAAGGTATTTAGAAAATTGTCATTCATTGAAATTCCTGGCAGTGAATGTGTCTCAGATAAATAACTCAACACAGACAGAAATACTGACATCAATTACAGTATCAAAACTTTTGAGTAAACTTGACATTTAGGCAATCTAATCAGCAAATCAACAGATTCTCAAGCACTTTTACCTCTGGAATATTAATCCTTAGATGGTGAGGAAAAGGAGCTCACATGAAGAAGAGACGGTGGCCAAAACTCTTTCCTCTGGAGGCTTCTGACTTGAGAAATGTGTCTGCCAAGAGATATATGGATGCTGCAGCAGTCACTGCAGATAAGAATCCCCTTGTTGATTGAAGCCCACTGAGGATCTGAACAAAGTTTGGAACCATAATTGCAATCAGTTTTTATTGTTATAATTCAAATGAGTACAAAGTCACTCATGAGCATGAAAAAAGTCAAGAATTGAGGAAGTAGGCCTATTATATGCAAGACTGCATTAGAAAAGGAATTTAAACCGAATAAGTTTTTTTCTTGAATTCTTCTCAATAAACATCGGTTTAATTCTGTAAACTGATGTTTAATGTAAATCAAAGCGAATGTCAAACTACGATAACCACAATTAATGTACATTAACCATGATTACTACTCCACGGTTACGTAGTGACTAAGAACCCTAAGAAGGTGGCAGGTAGGTCTAACTTCGTTTCGATGCCAAGCTACGTCTTGGCCATAGCCTGGATCTAGCGAAGGCCATAGGGTTAACCTAATCCTTATCTTCGTCTCAAGTAGAGAAGAACTCGGCTTGAGACCATTTCGACAGGAATGGAATAAATCGCTCACCGATAGCACCACAATCCCCACATTGCGAAGACGAATGCGTCTTCACGGACCGCGCCATCGAATAGCCGACGAGGGGTTCAGAAACTCTAACCCTCTCGGCCGAACAGAGCTCAAGAGCGGACGACGCAGGCGGACGGAGACATGAAAGCTGCCATACTGGACGATGACGTCACCGCCCGCAGCACCATCTCTCGGAGCGTGCGAGGAGGCTGCACGGAAGGCAGATCGGGATGGAGCGCGAAGGACGCAGGACGCTCCTCCGCCCGCTCCGGTGAGTTTCCACAGGGTTTTTTTCTTCTCCACGTTTTTAGATAGGGAGATTTAGCGTTGCGAAAGTTGAATGCTTCTGAAGACCTTTTTGCACGCTGGTCCCTCGCTCGACTCCAAGTCGAATCCCACCAAGCTCCTTCCCCCGGTTTCGGTTTCAGGCCTAATCGCGTCTCTGGCTCGCCACGTGGTGCGCAGCGTGCTTCACTCTCGGCGCGAACCGAGTTTTCTCCCGATCCGTCCTCGGGAACGAGTCGCTTAGGGTGAATCATCTAAGGTGGGTCATTCGAGGTGGATTTATGCCGTGCGATCGCGCGAGGGTCCGTCGAACGTCGGGGCTTTCACACCGCGACGAAATTCGTCTCTCCGCTTTTGCCGATCGGAATCGCAGGAACGCGTCGAGGCGGGAAGAGAAGATGGCCGTCGAGGATCCCCGAGGAGAAAAACGACCAGATGGCAAGAAATGCGCTCGAGAAAGATCGAGGACCGCTCCTCCCGTTTCCCGCCTCTGTTTTCATGAAACGGGAGAAGTTTTATCATTAATTGAACTTGAAAGAAAAAAAAAAGGGAAGTAAAAAGTGAGCTTTGAACTTTGTCAGCGGAGCTTTGGAAAAAAAAGAGACTAAAATCGGAATTCGCGAAGAACTGGCTGCCCTCGCCCGAACAGATAAACCCTTTCCCGATTTTTTCCCAGCCCTTTCCTTCGAACCGGTTCGTCGTTTTCGCCGTAACGGGGAATTTCCCCGTCCCACCAGCGGTTTCCGTTTCGAGCTGGCTTCCGTTTCACGTTTTCCACTCGGTACGAATCCATTAGACCGTAGGTACTACTCAGTACCCAGTTCTCGACTTCAAACGTACTCCAATCGAACGTCCATGCGTTCGGCGGGCGGCGACCGGTTGAGAACTGCTGGCTTGGATCGGTTCGTCGATGGATCGTCGTCGTTTGGTTCCTTTTTTTATGATTTCGTTCCACGAGCCGTTGCGTGAAAGACGTGTAAGAGGGCATCCCGAGAGGGAATTCTCCTCGTCGAGCGCAATACGTCATTTAATGGTGGATTCTTTTTCCAGTCATCCCGAGTTGTGCACTTAGATCCGGAACTACTCGTAGGAATACCACATTTTATTTGGAAAGGGGCAAGAGGGGATGGGAGGGGAGGTACAACACTGCGGGGAATGGGATGGTGGGAGGAGAGGAGGAAGGGATGGAGGGAAGGAGGAAGGGATGGAGGGAAGGAGGAAGGGATGGAGGAAGGAGGGAGGGAAGGATGGAGGGAAGGAAGGAGGGGGAAGGTTAGGAGGAAAGGAGGGGAGGGTATAAGCATCCACCTCCCATGGCGCTTCGCTGGTTGCACTCCGTGTCGAGTGAATATGAATGGCTCCCTCGCCGTCCTCGAGAATTCCTGGTCACGTGTCGGCTCCCGGCTCGTAACGTACGCGTTTCTTCCGTACTCATTCTGGAGCGGTTCGTGGGGTATTACGTTTGGAGGAAATTTGTTGTGAATGTACGCAGAGCGAGGAAGGCATCCTGCAGCCCGGCTCCATAAAGTATCTCGTGCTCTCATCCCGAATTAACCACAGAGGCCTCATAAAACGGTTGCTTATCACGTTTTTCCACTCCTTATCGTGTCTTTTGCTTATCGGGGGAAATAATGGGAAGCGAACTGCACGTTCGGGTCGTCGTGCCACGATCCCTCCCCTCCTCGATTGCGTGTTAAGCGCCGGTTACCGTGTAGCGACCCTCGAAGTACGATCAAAAGTGGTGAAAGCGCTAAATTCGCCCATCGCCCCGGTAAAACTTCCCGCTCGATCGATGGGGAACAACGGATCCGGTCCCGCAAACGGCCGACGCTCCCTCGTCCAGGGCGACACGGAAGGCAAAACGCTGTACGACGAACGACTCATGGGCCACTCGGACAAGCCCTACAGCCTCCGCATCTCGGAACCCGGCTCCCGCATCACGGGCATCGCCGTCACGCCCGTGAACGGCGACGCGTCCTCCCCCGTCGCGGAAGTGAAGGCAGGCGGAATCGGCTCGGACCACGTGGAGATCCTTCTCACTCCTCCCGCCGGGGAGCCGTGGGCCTGCAGGGTCCACGTCTGGGGGAGAGTCCTCGAAGATAATGGAGTCTCCGAAGATGATGGGGGTCCCTGACCCGAGATCACGAGTGAGTCTTCTGCGTTCTCGCACTTCGCTAGAGTCTTGGGCTGCTAGAATGATCCACGCGTTCGAGCGCAGTCTCCAGATTTTAGTAATTTCACATCAGCTTTCTCGAAGGTCGTTTTCTATTCTCGTGTCAGGCAGGGAATTTTTGTCGGCCTCGGTTTTCGTTCCATAGCTAGTCTAAATGAAGCGTCTCAAGCACCGAATCCTTTAGCTTTGCGTGAGAGAGATTTGCAATGGAGAAACGCGCGTCCATTCACCGACCCTGACATCACGGCCTTCCCGTCTTCATGGTGAGACAAGCCAAGAGAAAATCAATATAAGGTACGGATTCGCACCACAGAAACGACGTCCCTCCTAGTGGAAACATATGAATACTCCTTAAGCAGAGCTCCTTGCCTCGAAAGCTCCAAGTTTCCGATTCATCCTGACCATGGTGAAAGTAACTTCGCAATATGATGAAACAAACAGAAACGACGTCCCTCCAGGTGGAAACATATGAATACTCCTTAAGCAGAGCTCCTTGCCTCGAAAGCTCCAAGTTTCCGATTCATCCTGACCATGGTGAAAGTAACTTCGCAATATGATGAAACATAATGCCAAAAGACTTGGCACGGAACAAGCGTACTCTTTCGTTCCTTCATGAAAATATCTCTATCAGTCATCTGTGATTTTAAGTAACTCAGTGTCCAGCTTTTATAAAAGGTAAAAGTATTCCATTTGGTTCTTTGCTGGTGGCCACGAATTCACGTTGTGAAAGCATACATTAAATGGGCCTTTACGGTTCCGCCTTCCTATCGCTGAAACTAGAGAGTTTTGATCATCCGTTCTTGTAAGGACAAGAGATGTGGAACTGGTGACGTCATCAATGACGTCACCAACAGTTTTAGAGCGCAGGTGGAAGGCGTCTAAGACGTGGAGGAGCTCTTCCAGGCATTTCCTGAGGAACGCGACTGCGACGCGGACATTCACCAATCAGAGATGAGATTGCGACGCGAACATCCACCAATCAGGGATGAGATTGCGACGGGAACACCCACCAATCAGGGACGATTCGATGGTGAAGTGAGCTTGGATACAACGCCGCGTGATTCGTTTCATTTAGTCCTCGGTTGAGCGGCAGATGATGCGCGCGGTGTTGTGCTCAAGTTGGCACCTCATCTAATCGCACTATAAGCCGACCCGCTACCCTGAGAGATAGCGTGGAAGTATTCCCTGTAAAAAGAAAATTTAAGCCTTTTCCGAGATCGAAGGATGAACTGCACCAATTTCAATATAATCCATATTAGCTGGAGAGGGTAGCGCGTCTTCAGTTTCTCTCTCTATACGGTGATTAATGACGTGTTTGCACGTCTATACTACATAAGTTCAGCCGAAAGCCTTGACGTTCCTCATGCAAGCCTATTGCAGAAGCTAAAAACCGGTGGGAAATGAATCTATCAATAATTGCAGATACAGGGATTTGCAGGTTTACTACATAGTTCCGTAGCGGAAGGTGCATTCATATTTGACGTCATTTCCATGTCATCTACGTTGGAATCTGTGGATGTCGCTGACTCCTGTTCCAGATCTGAAACGCGGGGCCAAATTCGAATTTTGGGGGGAAAATGTTTTCATTTTCTTTGGGGCCACGCGGTGTCATGGTTCGCCATTTTCCAGTAACTCTGCCATATGATACTTTATGATATGGAGATCTTAAGCATCAGACGGAACAATGTTTCCAGAGCTCTACTTTGATTTAGGTTTAGATCTAAACAGTGACCTTCAAAGATGCTCGCTGAGCAAATTCTAAACCTGGAAATGAATAATTTTGTTACTGTCGCTACCATGTGCAATAGTGAGATCTTTCCTTTGAGATTTATAGCATGCCAGTGTCACACACGAAGGGAACTCCCCAAATGGAGAAAGTAGTGACGAATAGTAGAGAAGTAGCCTGCTCCCATTAGGGGGAAATATCTCCGGCAACAAGGAAGGAAGTCCCCTAACTTCGCGAGACCCCGAAGGTACTGCGAACTTCTCTCAAGCCACGACGGGGGCCCTCGACTCTTCCGCGAGGAAGTCCTCCATTGGTGACTTCCGTCCTTCGCGCTGTGAGGCGCAACAGCCCGTCCAGGCCCAGAA